TATGCCATAATGAAAAATGCGTTTCAAATAAGTATTCCGCAATAAGTATTCGACTAAATTTTTTCTAATGCTATACACAAATCGGACTGTAGTGAGCAGGAATACCATTCAATTATGGAGAAACTTAAAATTTTCCTCAAAAAATTGTCTGAAAAGTGGAAGAAAAGCAACAGAGATAAGAATCGATTGGAGAACAACAACGCAGCCTGGCTCAACGACGATTTGGTTCTTCTGAGCCCCACAGAAAAATTGACTCCAGGGCGAAAACCAAAAGAAAGTAAGTAAGTGCGCAAAATTATCACATCCTGTGGAAAACAACTCTTGCAATGACCTTATGAGAGCAACACGTATAAGCCTTTATAAAAGTGATAAACGGAGTGCATCAAACATTGTTTAGAAGCAGATCCCAACGCATCTAAAAAAATTTAAAAAAAGTTTGGATGCAGACCAACAACTCCCCATTAAGCATTCTCCAGAAGAAGCATTGGCGCTTTATATTTATGGCGATTACACAAAGAACTCATACAAGCTATTGCAATCAGGTACAAAAGCGCAAAAAGCTAATATTTTTTCAACCTACGATGTTTTGCGATCGGCGAAAAAAATGTGCATCCGGATTGCATCAGAACGGAAGAAAGTTGGGCTGAAGTTCCTTTACAACAAATGCTGGACCACACAATTACGAGAATTGTTGGTGCGCATCCCGAAGTTTTTAGCCAAATCTCGGATAATGGCAATAAATATAAGTCTTTGAGCCTCATTTCTAAATGGGGTTGCGATGGGAGTTCGGGACACGCGACATACCGACAGAGCTTCAGTAATTTGGAGATTAAGATGGCAGATGAGTACATATTTTTCATATGCATAGTACTGCTACAATTACAATATGAAAGCATAGTACTTTGGAAGAATCCTCGCCCGGAATCGACTCGGTATTGTAGACCTTTAAAAATAATGTTTGCCAAAGAATCAACAGAATTGGTTAGAGCGGAAATTGAAAAAAAAATCACAGATATTGCAAATTGTTCCTACGCGCTTAAGTAGTTTTCAAGTTCACCACAAATTGCAACTTACCATGATCGATGGCAAAGTCTTAAGGGTGATTGCTGAAACATCATCGCAAACATGTGGTATTTGTAAAGCCACGCCTAAGGCAATGATCGATTTAGATGCAATTAACAGCTTGGCAAGAAATGAGGACTTGATTAAATTCGGATTGTCGACTTTGCATTGTTGGATTCGCTGCTTTGATGTATGCTACATATCGGCTATCGTCTACCAATTAAAAAGTGGCAAGCTCGTATTTCGGCATAGTCGATAAACAAAAGGCAGTCATCCAAGAAAGATTCAGAACCGAAATGTCTTTATTAGTAGATATTCCAATGCAAGGTTCTGGCAACACGAATAGGGGAAATACTGCTCGAAGGTTTTTTGAAAAGTCAGAACTGTCCGCTCAAATTACTGGAGACTTGGTGTTATTTTGGCTGTGCAATAAATGCCGACAGATTTAGAAAATATTCGATGGAAACTGCGAATATATTTGTGCAAGAATATTCTTGGTTTTACATGCCCAGCTCATTGCACAAAATATTAATTCACGGAGCCGAAATTATAGAATGTGAACCACTTCCGATTGGCATGATGTCAGAAGAAGCATTGGAAGCAAATAACAAAAATTTACGAAATTTTCGTCTCAATCATACACGAAAAAACTCGCGTGTAAATACAATGGAGGATGAATTCATTATTATTTGCTTCAGACCCACTTATAACAAGTTTGTGCAAAAGCAAAGGAAATAAATCTAGTAAAGAAATAGTGTTTGTTAAGGAAGTTCGAAGCCAGCTATTGAATTACCCTTCGGATTCAGAAAATTCCGACTCGGATTCGGATAACTGATATTATTAATAATAATAATATTAATAATAATAATAATAGTTAAAATAATAGTTAAAAATGCGGACAATAAAAATGTTAAAAACATGTGAACAAAAAAAAAACAAGTAAGAACGTTGCAGTCGGGCGTTACCGACTGCGGAATACTCATTCACATCCCATCAACAATTTAGTAGTTAAGTTTCGCTCTAATACTGTAGAATATACAGGTTTTTCCGGTTTGCCACGCCCCAACTGGGCGTAGACACCTCATTTTTGGTCAGTTTTTAGAAAGAGATAACGCTACCCTAACTGCAAAGTTTGAATGCTTACCCTAAAAAAATATGAAAATTACAGGGTATTTTTCGATATGCCACGCCCCTACAGAGGCGTAAAAATTATTTTTGGGGAATCGATAGAGGAGGCTACCAGTAACTCAACTATCCAAATTTGAAGCTTCTAGCTATTATACTTTAGGAGATATAAACTTTTGCGGTTTGCCACGCCCCCTGTGGGCTGACATATATCCGACAAAACTTTTTGGTCTTGGGTGATCAGTCTGAGTATATATACAAAATTTGAGGTCTTTGCCATCAATAGTGTCCAAAATATAGGAGAATTTAAAAAATCACTATATCTTCAGGTCCGATTTGCCACGCCCCCAATGGGCGTAGACTTATAATTTATCTTCAGACTTTATAGAATCATACCATTAGCTGACGTGCAAAATTACAGCATTCTAGGTTTACAACTTTAGGAGATACAGTTTTATCCGATTTGCCACGCCCCCAATAGGCGTAGATATATCCGCCATAGCTCGTGATCTTGGGTGGTCAACGCGGACCTACATACCAAATTTCAGCTTTCTAGCTCTTCAACAAACATGATTTCTGGTATATCGGAAAATGCATTTTCCGATTTGCCACGCCCCTAGTGGGCGGATCGGAAAAATTTTAACACTTTATAAATCGGAGATATACACGAATATGTGTTCCAAATTTCAAGTCTCTAGCTTCAATAGCGCCGAAATAGATTGCGTTCATACGGACAGACGGACGGACGGACAGACGGACAGACGGACGGACAGCAAGACGGACATTGCACAAAACCAATATACTGATTCACTTTCGTGAATGAGTATAATAAAAAATAAAAATAAAGCAACAAAAATTTTTAAGGTGCAAAAAATGATTTAAAAAAATTAAAAAATTAAATATTGTGCATTGAAGGGTCCAAATAATATTAAAATTACCATTTTTGCAAAATTGTACTTATTTTTTGAGCAATTAATTTCGTTACGCTAGATCGGCTATATCGCTCACTGTGCGTCGCCCTGATCAAGAATATATATACTTTATTAACAAAACGATTATACCTTGATTTCCCATTTCAAATGGGATCAGGGTATCACAATATTAAGAACTGAGTGTATTGCGTATAATTAAAAAGCATTTTTTAATAATGATGTACATTCTGTCAAATAAGTTCCCGGAAAGTCTCATTTTAAATTTTCCCTTTGAGTATATTTAAAAAAAAAAAATTCCCCAGGTTGGCGCAATTGTTAGCCACTATTCTTTGAATTTTCAATGCTGTGTGTCATTTGTGTCATTTAATGTGATTACGGTGTCATTAGGAGCCAGTCAACCTTTTTTTATTATTTTTATTATGGATAAAAATATCGAACAAAGAGTTTGTGTGAAATTTTGTGTTTCAAACGAAATTTCTTATGCCAAAACGTTGGAAGTGTTGAAAAAAAAAAACATTTGGTGATATAACCATGTGGAAAAGTCAAGTTTACGTTAGGTATAAATGGTTCAAAGAGAGGCGAGAAGAAGTGAACGATTTACCACGTTCAGGACGACGTTTCACCTCTTCAACTGAAGAATTCGTGGTGTTGCTCAATCGGAATTCTTACTGGAGGGCCAGAATATCAATAAATCAATAAAGAATATTATCTTGGCGTTATGAGGCGTTTGAGAGAGAATGTTCGTCGCAAAAGAATAGAGCAAAAGTTGGATTTTGCACCACGGTAATGCACCAGCGCACAAAGCGGGCATTGTGAACGAACAAAAATTCAAGAAAATCATCGAACAACCACCGTACTCTCCAGATATGTCCCCGTGTGACTTTTTCCTGTTTCCAAAACAAAAACAAGTAAGAAGACTCTAGTCGAGACTGCTCGACTAGGATATACCCTGAACCCTCTAATCTGATATTCTAATCAGTCTGCACTTCTTTTCGACACACATACATACACACGCACGTATTAGAACGCGCTCTGCTAACTGCGCAGTAAGCAGCGACTGCGCTTGGGCTGCGCTGTAGTGTGGGCAACATTATAAGAATTTCTTTGTTGAATAATTTAATTTTTAGACGTACAATCTTAATGAAACTTTCAGGGCGTAATCATATGGTAAAAATGTATGTACATTCCAAAGCACAAGTCTCTAGTACTTGAAATACGCCTTGTACAAAGGTGAGGGTGAGGGGGTGGATATAGGGGTGGGGGGGTAAATAACAATAAAAATCAAAATTATATAAAATACATATAAGTCTACATTTAAAATTTGCAAGCTCTAGCTCTAAAGGTGTAGGAGATATAATTAAATAACTAGCTTTCGATAAGGTTTTTAATCGATAATAAAATATCGGGAGTAGTTATCGATATAAAAAGAAAAACTTGATATGCGCGTGATATACACGGACCTAGGAAAAATTTCAAGTCTCTAGCTCTTATATCTTCTGAGATCGACGCGCTCATACATACGGACGGACGGACGGACGGACAGACAGACGGACAGGGCCAAATCGACTCAGCTCGTCGCCCTGATCAAGAATATATATAGTTTGTGGGGTCTGCCACGCCTCCTTCTGCCTGTTACATACTTTTAACAAAACCATTATACCCTGATTTCCCATTTTCAATGGGTTCAGGGTATAATTACCACTTCGTGGATCCCGTTTTGAGAGCACTGAAGACATAAAAACTAATTCGCAACGAGAACTGAAGGCCATCCCGGAATATAGCTTTAAAAAGTGTTTCGATTATTGGATTTTTCGTTGGAAGAAGGGTATTGCCTCAGAAGGGGCCTATTTTGAAGGGGATATAATAAATTTAGATGATTGATAAGTTGTTTGTGTTTTATTTGAAATTTCCGGGTACTTATTTGACAGAATGTATGTCTTTATTAACCATATCAGCCATTGCTGGTATTTTCAAGTTGTCCGTTCGTTAGCTTAATCGACAAAAATTCGCTTGTAAAGAGATATAGCGTATTTTATATATTTTAATTTTTTGTCTGCTTCCATTTGTCCTTAGCTTCACGTTTAGCTTCCGGGACAAGAGAACTTTTAGCTCCTCCCAAAATGTTTGTTGTTGCTTGAGTTGCTAGTACTGCCGGACACAACACTAATTGAGGCAATTGTCTAACTACAGCACCAACTGCTCCACTATATCCTTTTTGATCATGCTCCTCAATGGCTGCTTCCAGAAGTGTAGTCGCAGATTCATTTATTCCCTTAAATTAAAGTTAAAAAAAAAAAAGATTTTTGTATTATTTATTATTTCTTCTACAACATAAAAAAAAAAACAAGTAAGAAGGCTCTAGTCGAGACTGCTCGACTAGGAGATACCCTAAACCCTCTAATCTGATATTCACTCTGCACTTCTTTTCGGCACACATACATACACACGCACGTATTAGAACGCGCTCTGCTAACTGCGCAGTAAGCAGCGACTGCGCTTGGGCTGCGCTGTAGTGTGGGCAACATTATAAGAATTTCTTTGTTGAATAATTTAATTTTTAGACGTACAATCTTAATGAAACTTTCAGAACATAATCATAATGTTCAAATGTATGTACGTTCCAAAGCACAAGTCTCTAGTACTTGAAATACGTCTTTTACAAAGGTGAGGGTGAGGGGGTGGATATAAGGGTGGGGGGGAAATTACAACAAAAATCGAAATTATATAAAATATATATAAGTCTACATTTAAAATTTGGAAGCTCTAGCTCTAAAGGTGTAGGAGATATAATTAAATAACTAGCATTCGATAAGGTTTTTGATCGATAATAAAATATCGGGAGTAGTTATCGATATTTAAAGAAAAACTTGATATGCGCGTGATATACACGGACCTAGGAAAAACAATTTCAAGTCTCTAGCTCTTATATCTTCTGAAATCGACGCGTTCATACAATATAAAAAACAAAACATAATTTGCATTATTTATACAGTTTATCAAGAACAAGTAAGAAAGCTCTAGTCGAGACTACTCGACTACGAGATCCCCTGAACCCTTGGAGCAATAGATATCTCAATAATTTTTCGCGTCTTTCAGCTTACACAAGAAACACGCACACACACACACACACGCACGTACGCACACACAGGCATAAATACACACACACGCATACAGACACAAACACATACACACACTCACATACGCAAACACATACATACACATACACAAACACATACACACACATACACAAACACATACACACACAAGCACCCACGCATAAACACGCATGGGCTGCAGTGTGCGCTTACTATGAGAACTTAATTGTTTAATAACTTTTTTATGGACGTGCGATCTTCATGAAACTTTTAGATTATGATTATAACATAAATATGCATGTATTTGCCAAAGCACAAGTCTCTAGTATTTGAAATACGCTTTTTACAAAAGTGAGGGTGAGGGGGTGAATTTAGAGGTGCGGGTACATTTTAACAAAATCCGGAATTGTATAAATTGCATATATACATTAAAAATTTAGACTCTAGCAATAAAGGTGTAGAAGACATAATTTTATAACTGGTTTTCGATAAGGTTTTTTATCGATAAAAAAAGATCGGGATGAGTTATCGATTTTTAATCACACCAAATCCTTAGTGCGAAGTATGTCGACTGCTTGCAGTAATTGCTACCAATGGCGGTCCTACTAAATATTAATACATATTTTAGATAGGTTTTTTTAAGTGTACCTAAAGTTTGTTGGCATGTTGGCAAGAGCTAGAAAGCTGAAATTTGGTATGTAGGTCCGCGCCGACCACCCAAGATCATAAGCTATGGCGGATATATCTCTGCCCATTAGGGGCGTGGCAAATCGGATAAAACTGTATCTCCTAAAGTTATAAACCTAGAATGCTGAAATGCTGATGATGCATGTAAGCTGATGTTTTAATTCTATGAAGATGGGTGAAAAATTATATATCTACGCCCACTAGGGGCGTGGCAAATCGGACCTGAAGATATAGTGATTTTTCGAATTCGGCTATATTTTAGGCACTATTGATGCTAGAGATCTGAAATTTGGTATATATACGCGGGTTGATCACCCAAGTCCAACGAGCTATGGTAGATATATGTCCGCCTATAGGGGGCGTGGCAAACCGCAAAAGTTTATATCTCCTACAGTTTAAGAGCTAGAAGTTTCAAATTTTGATAGTTAAGTTACTGGTAGCCTCCTATATCGATGCCCCAAAAATAATTTTTAAGCCTCTTTAGGGGCGTGGCATATCGAAAAATACTCTGTAATTTTCACATTTTTTGAGCGTAAGAATTCAAATTTTGCATTTAGGTAACCGGTTGCTCGTTCTAAGAACTGGCTAAAATTGAGGAGTCGACGGACACTAGGGGCGTGACAATCGGCATTTACAGTGCCCGTATTGCGACATTTATATGCGTCAGCCATCTATTTATGCATTTGTACATATAAATAAGCTTAATAGATATTCATAATACAAAAAGAAACATTTTTATGAATTTAAAAAAATATAAAAGAAGCTAAAATAACAAAAATTTGCAATTTACAAAAAAGTGTTTTCCGCGGGATTTGAGCTCGCACCCAACCCAAACAGCATGTTTGTCAAAATAGCTAAAATAATGGTCGTAGGCGCTTCAGCCTACAGCACCACCGCGTCGTTTCGATCAACAGTAGTTAAAACGAAATCACATTATTGTTATGACGCCACATAGCAAAGAAAAGCCAGAGTGGTGGCTGGAAATTCAAAAACAATGCAAAGACAAATCAATCGCAACGAGATTCTTAGAATATGCTAGAGTACGCATTTATTTGTGCATACATACACACATACAAATGAACACACACAAGCATAAACACGCATGGGCGGCAGTGAGCGCTTACTATGAGAACTTAATTGCTTAATAACTATTTTGTGGACGTACGATCTTCATGAAACCTTTAGATTATGATAACAACATAGATATGCATGTATTTGCCAAAGCACAAGTCTCTAGTATTTGAAATACGCTTTTTACAAAAGTGAGGGTGAGGGGGTGAATTTAGAGGTGGGGGTAAATTTTAACAAAAACCGAAATTGTATAAATTGCATATAAGCATACATTAAAAATTTGGAGACTCTAGCAATAAAGGTGTAGAAGATATAATTTTATAACTGGTTTTCGATAAGGTTTTTTATCGATAAAAAAAGATCGGGATGAGTTATCGATTTTTAATGATAAACTTGATATGCGCGCTGTAATTACGGACATTTTACGGACATACGGACAGACGGACAGACGGACGGACGGACAGACAGACGGACAGGGCCAAATCAACTCAGCTCGTCGCCCTGATCAAGAATATATATACTTTGTGGGGTCTGCCACGCCTCCTTCTGCCTGTTACATACATTTCAACAAAACCATTATACCCTGATTTCCCATTGAAAATGGGTTCAGGGTATAAAAAATGTGTTGGATACGCAAGCTAAAGGCCCGGACTTAAGCCTCATTGAGAATTTGTGGGCTTATCTGAAGAAGAGGACCGCCAAGAGTCATCCAAAGAATAAAACTGAGCTGAAAACCATTGTTTTGGAGGAATGGCGAAATATCCCAGTGGAATATGTCAGAAACTTGGTCCAATCGATGAATAGACGCTTGGGAGTAGTCATAGATGCCAACGGTGGCCAAAAAAAGTATTAGTTTTAACTAAAAAGTAGTTAAGACATTATAATGAATTAATTGTTTTAGTTGTGTAAACACTTTCTTGTCAGCTGATTTTTGTTACTTCTTTTGTTTTTTGTTATTTTCTTTTGTTAATGGAAACATATTGCTAATATAGTTTATAGTCTAATATACCTACTTTCATTTAAAAAAAATTGAATATGCATATTCTTACTGCTTTTATTTCGCTTCAAAGTAAAAAACTCTATATATTATTAAAAGTCAAAATTGTATAAATTATATACATATGCATGTAATTTGAATGCAATTATGCAATGATCATAGCAATAGCTATCGATGATTTTCCAATTTTAATGGGATCATGCCCTGTTTTTTGTTGCGCACTAGACTTGAAAATTGCACTATATACTCTGGTTGACAGCGTTTGGGCTGTGAACGAGTCTTCTGCAATCGGTATCGCCCGACTGCAACTTTCTTACTTGTTTTTATTGGCGTCGGAAATCAAAGGTTTCTTGCGCGAAGTTCGGGGATTGTGCCCCTCCTTGTAGAGCATATTTCGCACAGTTTGGGGATGCACGCTAACTCCTCAGGTTAGAAATATATCCTCCTGTATTTTTGGCGCAGATGTTTTGGGATCCGTGTTTATTGTGGCCAGGATTTGGCGTTTATCTCTGACACTATATTTTTCAGGACGGCCTGATCTTGGTTGAACTTCAAGTGTTGCGGTTTTTCCGTAGGATATTATTATATTTTGCACACTGTAAAGGCCAATCGTTCGGCCAATTTCGCGTACTGCTTGCCCTTCTAAGTAGAGAATTATTATTATTTGACGCGTTTCTAGTGGGATTTACTTTCCTCGACCCATATTCATCAGAGAGTTCTCAGTGAGAGTGTACAGACGTGTTTGTTTTTCTGCTTTGCAAATTTGCTTGTTTTTTTACAATTTTATTAATTTTCACACAACTGCGGTCGGTTGCTAGTGGCTACATATTCCTGTGAAAGGTTTGATCCGTGGTTTGCTGTGTCTTTTATAATTGCTTTTTTAATTTGTGAAGTTTGGTGTAGCGTCGGTTTGCTATTTTTTGGCGCTCTCCCCATTTCACACTTTATACTTTTGCCTAGTGTGATTGTTTAGCATTCTTGCTCTGTCGATTTCTATCGTCGTGCTTTGATACTCTCTGTGTTTCTTTCGTTACGCTCTGTAATGGCTTTTTTGTTGTTGGACTTGCTCTCTCAACATAACGGCTGTTTGTTGTTCGACTCTGTCAACATATTTTAAACTCTCTTTATTTTGATTTCTGCTTCATTTCGGTAATTTCTACTTGATCCCAGATGCCAATATGAGTTGCTGCAAAAAATCTTGCTCGTTAGGCAGGCAGTGGACTCTGCACAAGCGCAGTTTGTAAATTGCTGGTTGTGCGATGATTTAATGCATACTACATGTGCAGGTCTCACTGGTCGTGACAATGACAAGATTATGTCCACAGGAAAAATTGGTAGTGGGGGCGTTCGCTGGTCTTTTCCGATTTGCTTAGAAAAACAGATTAATTTTTCTAAAATGTATAGCGCTGTAAGGGTTCAATT